AAAAAATGAATCCGCCTCAACAATATAGAACTTATCTACCTGTTGATGCAGTGGCAACAGTCACGTCTGGAGGTAGAGCCCCTATGATCTTTTTCAGCAAGTAGCTCTTGCCAGTGCCAGCACTGCCTGTAAAAAAAACGTTTTTTCCGGCCAGACAAGCACTAAGCACTTCCTTCTGCTCTAAATTCAAAGACTGACTTGCGATTGGAGTTTCAGAATACAATTTTTTTGCAGCTGGAGCTCTATCTCCACTTGTTCTGAAATTAACGTTAAAGTTGAATCAAGTCTTCACCGACTGTCGAATCGGCATTACATACCTTTCAAGTTTCCTTTTCTTGCCTGCCAATGGCGATGGAGTTGTATCAGTGCTCTTGCCATTCGCTTTTTTAAACGCTGTCTGCAGTTCACTGTTAGTGATAGGCGAAATCTCCTGATACTTGTTTGAGGTGTGCCCCAACACTTGAGCTCGCAATGAGGCACTGCGTGGGCACTCGGGTTTCTCATTAGCCATTTTAATAAATAAAATTCTAAAACCAAAGTTATCCACGTATCTATGTGTATTGCAAACCACGCTGTTCAACAGTTTTCCTGTATATTTTAGCACTCGCAGATGAAACCAAGATTTTATATTATTACATATTTAAAAACAGAGTGTCATGTTTTAACCCATGATTTTAGATTTAAAAAAAATTACTTAATGTACCGTATGTACAGTTTACCGAGATGGCGATATGGAGAGCCACCTGACCAATAGAAATTCCAGAAAAATGTAAAACTAGGCAATTTTTGAATAACTTTCCTCTTGCAGTGGAGTGCTAAAATATATGTGAAACCATGTACAGATAAGTAAGTCCTATAATATTTACTTTAGAAACGATCTTAGCTGTTCTGGTGGGGCATTAGAGAGAAACAAGGTGGCATTTTCTGCAGGAAACTTAATGGATGATTTTCCCTCCTGCATAAACTTGTTATGAACCTGCACATCTTTGCCGAATTGGAATTTTACAGGAGCTGCTTTGTCAGCTACAATTTCAATAACTATCTGGCTGTTGCTACGAAGTATCCTTAAGTTTGAACGCTTGTTGGTCAATTTTCTTTGAATAATGCCTTGCTTGTTTAGCCATTGCACGTTCACTTCACAACACAAAAATCCTTCGTTCTCCATGATTAGCTGAGGAAAGTGGACAACTCTCACAGAAAATGTGACTAATTTACATTCACATAATTCGAAATCCGATTAATGCTGAGAGACACGTACTGAAATAGGGACTTGGTCGTCAGTATAAAACTGGCCCTCAGGTAAATACTTTCAGAAAATACAAATTATATTATTAGTTGAATGCGTTGGTTTTCTAGTCGGCATTTTAGGTTAAGTGTGTCAGTCATAGAGTAAGTAAAATAATCATTTTACTTTCTCTATGGTGCCAGTGGTTGGGCCAAAGAATCCATAGCCTAGATGCGAAAGCACCTGATTTTATTACGATTGACGGCACATTTTACTCAATTTTCTATCTATTTTAGAGTGAGATTACGATTTCAAATAATGAGTTTTACTTTTCAAAAGTAAAATATATAGTTCCAAAGCGTACGGTAAAGGTAACGGGTAAAAAAATTGAATAGGTACTTTGCATACTTCGGTTCTTTAAGGCAAACATTCTGTATATTTGACTTTCCCTGTCAAACGTCTTCCTGCTTTCATGTCACTGTCAATATAGATAGAGCCTGATAGAGCTTTAAAAATTCTTCCGCCACTCCGGTTCCTAGCTTATTTTTAAAATGGCGTTCTGAACATATTTTTATTAACTTTAACAATTTTTACATAAATTTAATATAAATACACTACATACAATAAAATTACATAATTTAAATTTAAACATAAACAAACTAAATGACGTCTATTTTGCTTAATGGTGCATGCTAAAGAAACACAGCGTCAGAGCTGTCAAGATGCTGAACGGAATTTATTTAAATATGCTCCTTCAATTGGTTTTACAAAAAATAGTGCACGGCGCTAAATGTAAATTTTGAAATTGCGCGCCATTCACCGGGGCCAGACCTGTCAAAAATCGCGCCAAAGGAATATTGAAGCTACCACTAGATGCGAGATTAGTTGAATTGCCCTGGGCACTCTCACTTAAAAACCTAACAGAGAACGACTGATTTCATAGTCGCCAGAGGCGCTACAGACGATAAAGAGTTACAGATTAAATCATGAAATAACCCACTGTAGGAAAATATTCTGTGGGTGAATGCGATAACGCAAGTCAAATGTCAAATAAATCTTCCCCATTGTTGCTTGTGGGTTTGTCATGGACAAGATGTCTGTCAATGTTGGTTATTCGCTATCATCCAAAGAATAAGCCTATGCCGATTTTATTCATTTCTGACGATGTAATCTGTGATAAGTTGTATGATTTCCTGCCTCATGATTGTGATATGTTTCCCCATGTTCTCCAATACGTAATTTGTGAATATTTTGTTGGGTAAGTCGAAATCACTTACCTTATTATTCAGGTGGCATTTTCATCAAGAAACAAATAAATGGAAAACAGGATATTTTTCTCATTAGAGCTAGTTCATAGCATCGGGTTGCTCACCGCTGAAACCGGTACTTAATACCTCTGTATTATGTACAATTACAGATTAATATTTAAACAGAAACCTCTGTTCAAAGTGAATAATGATATTTTCATATTTTCAGATTATCTTAAATCAATAATCAATCAATAATCTGCGAAGATGGTTATTGGTGACCTGAAGGCTGTTAGAAAATGCACGGCTTCCTATCACAAAAGGCGTATGTTTTAAAGTTATTCTTAAAAATGCTCCAAAGATTTTTTTACCTGTAAAAAGTATTTATATGAACAATAAACAACAAGTAATATATATATGTATTTTTGTGTAGTTGTGTCATTTATCCCTATTATCAGCTGCCCCTTGCGACACAATTAAAAATAAGCAATTGTAGTGGGTTCATAATACAGGTTTGTTTGAATTCTTTAATTCTCAGCCACCAGGGCGCGCCACTTTGGAACCACAGATCACAGTAATCTTTGTAAACTCGTCTTTATCTCTGAGAGTAACCTCTGTAATCTGTGTTTGGAACTGTCATTCCACGAGAGTGAACAGCCCCTGTCTCCTTGTCTTTATCTATCTATGCCCTGTCTTTTACGTAGGGATCGTCAATCAGCTCGTATATATTTAAAATGGTAAGATTAAATCAACTATTTCTTAGACAATCGTTTAAAAATTAGGGAACTCGTTGGTTACAAAATGTCGCATTTTTGACCCTTTATCATTCTTGATGAAGCGTTTGGTAGTTTGGCATAGCCTAAAAGGCAAATTTTAGAAGGTATTCAGTAGATGTTTAGGTTAAGTTTCAATATCCGAGTGTTTACTAATTCTATAACATTTGGAATCAAATGTATTATAAGGAATCTTGATCTATTCTAATTTGTGATTGAAGGCCAAACGCACCAAGAAGGTAGGAATCACTGGTAAATATGGAACCCGATATGGTGCTTCTCTTCGTAAGATGGTCAAGAAGATGGAAATTACACAGCACAGTAAATATTCATGCAGTTTTTGCGGAAAGGTAAGCAGCAACATTATTTTTTTTAATGTCCAATGTAATAACAGCGTTCTGTTGGTCTGGTTGTCAGCAGCCAGCAATTTTTTATTGAACGAAATCAATTACATTTCAATAGCAATTGATGTCAAAACCCTTGCGTGTAATGTTAAAAATATGCTGACCTTCTAAGTTATCTCTATACTTTTTCGTATTAGTCCAAGTACTACTTAGGAATGAAAATGTATGTTGTTTTAGGATGCTATGAAGAGGTCAGTGGTCGGCATTTGGTCTTGCAAGAGATGTAAAAGGGTCGTCGCAGGTGGCGCTTGGGTTTACGCAACTACTGCTGCCTCTTCAGTAAGGTCAGCGGTAAGGCGTCTGCGGGAAGTGAAAGAGCAGTAAAGCTGTAAAATTAGTTAAATAAAAATGAAACAAAAAATTATTTTTATTGCATCTGTTGTCCTTTAGGACGGGAGTCCTAATAGAAGTTAAATCTGATCTGATCAAGGCAACTGAAAATATACAAGAAAATGTGGTAATTAATGAATTCGCATGGGAATGGGTTTGTACTGGGCCTCGGAATCAAAATGGGAATAATTATGTGTAGTCATAAATCGACTACTCATTTACACCAACATTATCAAACTCACTTTATAAAAAAGTATACTTTTATCAAATAAATTCATATTCTACAAGCATTTACACAAATAATCATATATTTAGTTTATTCTTCGTTCTGGTAACTAGCGTCATCAACTTTTGCGCGGTGTTGCAATGTGCCGACAAAGGTACTTATCCGCCAAAAATGATATGAGAACGATTTTTCTTAGAAAACGGTGAAAGGAAACGAATATTCGTTAGATATTCGAAATTCAGATTTTTGATTCCGAGCCAGAGATGCCAGGTCTACCGATTTTTCGGTAGATGTACCGATTTGTCAAGGAACCTACCGATCTACGGAAACCATGCAGATTTCTACCGAAAAGTAACAAACAAAAATTGAAAAAATTTCCGTGGATTATTTAAAATAATCTAACATATTTCCATTCATGATCAAAGTACGTTGGTAATGGCAGACATTTTATTTTAGAGTTCTTTTTCAAACATAAAGTGAATCAAGCCCGCCATATAGATCATAAATATAATAAAATTATGTTTTATGGATCGTGCGATAGTGGAATCAGGTTCCCTGCAATCTATTTCTGATGTTGCAATGATATTTCCAAATTTAATAAATGATAGTGAATTACAAGACACAGAATGACGTCAGTTGCGAAATGTTGAAGAAATTTAAAAAATTTCTGGAAATATTGAAGAGTTTTGGAGCTAAGTACAAATATTGAAATATAGAGCTGATACATTCGGTTCCAATTTTATTTGTGACCTGCTTATTCTACCTCACTCATTAGCCAAGTTGAACGGATATTTTCACAGGTCAATCTCATGATACAATGAACACATTCATGTATTCATTGTATCACGGGTTAATCTAATGAAAACTAAGTTGAGCAATAAGCTAAAAACGAGTACAACTTCATATTTACTTCCTTACTAACTCATGCTTATTTTAGTATTCCTGTAAGTTTAAAAATTTTGAGAAACGCGCGATTTTATGGAGCCTTTAATAATGAAAGAAAAACGACTTGAGCTTACCTACAGAAACTCGATTTTCGGACCTGGCAACCCTGTTCCGAGCACTAGTTTGTTCCAGAAACCTTGTTACGTGAATTTCATTGAAATAGTCGCAATATTTCTTAAAACTTCGACTAGAATTAAATCAACCAAACATTAGTGCACTTGCTAAGACATCGCTGACGAGTTGTACTTGTGGATAGAAAAGTACTAAAACATATTTGACAAGAATGGGATTTGTAAGAAAAAGTGCCTATCAAGGCCAAAGAACGATATAAAATAATCTTATATATTTTCGTCGTATAAAGGAGTAGCGTCACCTAGAGACATGCTGTGAGGTGACATGTTTGTTCGAGGAGTAGACCGCATAGATCTCGGGCTTTTGCCAACATTCTTCATTTTCGTTCGCTCCAAGTCATCGTGGACATCATCAAAACGGGGCGTTCGTTGGGTTGGGGCACCTCGCGGAGTATTACGACCGTTGTCACTTCTCGGAGTACCTGAAATAGATTTCGAAATTACGAAATGCTCGCTACAAAAGTTATCCTATGCCCGTTTTCCGAACATATCGGTTACATAAGCTTA